TCGTAATCATGATGATAATATCTGCTTTGTTGATTCATACGATAAAAGAAATGATTTTAATTCTAATATTAATAAACTAGTTACTTGGAATTCTAATATTTTTAGGAACATCTATTTAAATACCACTTTTAATGAAATGAATAGAACTAAAAGAATATGTAGTAATATTTATTTATCCAAGAAACAAATCGATAAACTCTTTCAAAATTTGATAAAAAAAACAATGGATGCCCAACTAAAGTAATTAAATTCTATATAAAATCATTGAGTTAATTGTATATAATTCCAAATAAATTAACTAAAATATTTGTTTGTTAATTTATATAATTTTTACCATGTGCAAATCCATTTCGGGCAAATCCGTGGTTAAAATTACGTGCAAAACAGGCAATTCATGTTTCTTTCTGTTTTCTATTTTTTTTCTTAAATAAGTGTTAATTTTCCAAAATTATTAATTGTCAACTTTTTTAAATTATCCAGTATAATGTTACCTTGCGCACATCCATTTTCGGACCCATCCTTAGTAACTAACAAATCAAACGCACTTTAGAACTGCAGTAAGAACGCACTTTAATACAAAACCCCTCTATTTACGTTTCTACTTCAATTTGAGCTTTTGGTTTCCTATTTTGCAATCTGGCAATCTTATTGCAAAAATATTTTAAATCATTCTTGAAAAATTTCCCGTTCATGTAAGTTCATTTGAATTCGTTACTCACTTCCTAGATTTCATTTCGTGTTTTATACTGTGTTTTCTTTGTAGATTTCATTTCATGTTTTATTCTGTGTTTTCTTTATATTTTATTTTCTATTTTTTCGTGATATTTTTACTTATTGTGTTCTATTTTATTTGTAGCAATTTGTTTGTAAAAAATTTTTTTTTGAGTCCTTCTCACACTATTGTATTGATATATTTAGCTTTGGCTATATTGATACAATGTTAGAAAGCACTCCTTTTTGTGGATATAGTCGTGTGAGCTGATGAAAAGATTATATCTTTTAATATCCGGTTTTTTATTAATTTTTTCTCTCCTTTTTTTCCGTGTTTTCTCTACATTTCAAACTATAGATATATACAGTATAGCGCCGATTATCCGAACTCTTATTATCCGAATGCCCAATTGTCCGAATTTTTTTTTTAAAGTTTAGAATAATTTTTAACTTATCGACAATTTTTCTAAATTTAGAAGAATTAATAATATCCACTACATCTGAAGACCATATTTAATTTACAACCTTTTTTAGCAGTTTTCTTATAGTAGCCAATACATACATGTATTGTTATACAGTTAAAC